TATTGTGGGTAGGTAATCAAAGCCATAACCCTAATACAAGACTAATGTGAAAATCAAATACATTTATGATTGTAAAAAAAAAAAAAAGAGGAAAATAATGTTCTGGAGACCAACAGCAGAGAGAGAGAGAAAAGAAAAGAAAAGAAAAGAAAAGAGAAAAGAAAAGAAAAGAAAGAAAAAGAAAAAGAAAGAAATAAGAGAAAAGGATGGAAGGAAAGAAATAAAAGAGAGAAAACAAACATCCAAGAAAGAAAGAAAGAAAAAGAAGAGAAACATCCAAGAAAGAAAGACAGAAAGAAGAGAAACATCCAAGAAAGAAAGAAAAGAAGAGAAACATCCAAGAAAGAAAGAAAAAGAAGAGAAACATCCAAGAAAGAATGAAAGAAAAGAAAGAAGAGAAACATCCAAGAAAGAAAGAAAAAGAAGAGAAACATCCAAGAAAGAAAGAAAAAGAAGAGAAACATCCAAGAAAGAAAGAAAGAAAAAGAAGAGAAACATCCAAAAAATAAACAAGAAACATTTTTTATTTATTTTTTTTTTCTTGTGCACTTTGGGTATAAATCCATAATGGCAATGTTGGGGACGAGGAATTTTACTCAACCCTTCATAGATTCTTTCAGTTGCTCAAAGAATTAACTCGACATGAGACAGACGAACAGGAGAAAAATCAGATTTTATTTCATAGGTACAGGAACCCCACACACATGAGAGATTCCAAGTCAGAAAGGTTAGAATGAGGTATCCGTGCCGTCGTGAGCTAAGGAATGGGATGAGGGCCCAGGAGGGTCGGAGGGCCGTTCACGGGCAATAAGAATATGTTTGGTAATTACGTGTTTGCTCTGCCACACAGATGGGTCACTCAGATAATAACTTATCTCCGATAATAACTCTCATTCTGAGAAAGATCCCCAATTTCGATTCTTCTGGGCAGTTAAGGGGTGGACCACGGTTTCTCTTGAGCCTGCAGGATCTTGAGTGTCTTCAGCTCAAAATGGTGTACATGTCAACGTGCTTGACTTGGGGGAGGCTTGCTCTGAGCCCCTCGAGCAGCATCAGCAGTGTCTGACTGTGACTGTATTAAAGCAGCAGCTCTTAACCCTAGTGAGACGCAGGAGGACAGGCGTTCCCCTTGGCCGAGCTCCACCCCGCTCCTAGGCCAAGCACAGCAGGTGGGAGCACACAGCTGCCTGCTGGCCGCCTCCTGTCCCGACCCCGCAAGACATGAGCCTCGAACGGGCATGTGGCAGACCATCCTCCCTAAATCCGCCAGCCACGCGCTTGCTGGAAGCTCTGATGGGCTTCTCATTTTTTATTTTTATTTTTTTTTTAGCACAGCATTTCCCAAACACGTCACACACACCATCTGAAACAATAAAAAATAAAAAATAAGTAGTAGTATTTGTTAACTTCCATGAGATTGGGTCCATCCCAGAACGCTTTTAGAATCGCCACACTGGCCCTTATGCTCGGAATCCAGCGAGACTCAAAAATTCCATCCAATCACAGCTGTCCTAAGGCAATCATTTGATATGAAATTTGGGATCTGAGCAGGTCATTGTGACACCCACCACGTTGACAGAGCAGAGCTCATTTACATAGCGAACTATGAAATGAGGATCTTTAGTACCTCGGATAGTGAAGATCGTAGGAATCTGAAGAGCAGTGGGATGTGTGCGTATACACATGTACAAAGAGACAACATTTATGTCACGTGTGTAAATAATCTAGTGTGTGTGGAGGTGGGGGGTGTTTTGTTTGTTTGTCTGTTTAAGTAATGTCTGTGCCCATCGTGGGGCTTGAACTCATGACCCCAAGATCAAGAGTCTCACGCTCTCCTGACCGAGCCAGCCAGGCGTCCTTAGTTGTGTGCGTCTTTAAGAACCTGGAGGATATGCACGTAAAATTTAAATACATTGATCTCACACATACACATTTATATGTCCTATATCACGTATAAACCATACGTACATTTGTGGTTTTCAGAGACCCGTGAGTAGACGTCATCACATATCATTTCAGCAGACTTGATTAACGTGTACGTGTGTATCATGTCTGTAAATAGATGCGTGTGAAGCCTTACAGGAAACTTAACAGTGTTCTGTGTATAATGTACGTGTGGGCATGTTTTTATATAATTGTACGGATTTGAGAGTCGTATACTAGTTTAAGTGAAGCAGGTGGATCAAACAGGTACAGGGAAGTGCGTTTCGTTCTTTCGTTGGCACATTTCAGTTGAATGTGTTTGTCAGCTGCCGCTCTGTTTAACGTGGAATGAATAATATTTAAAAGGCGTGTATTTCAAGTACTCTGAAGGAACCTCAGACCCAATCCTTCCTCCTGGAGTGGCCCACCGTGCCATTTAAGGGAAGGCGCTGTGCCAGGACTTGGTTTTGGGTTTAATGATGACGCTTCCCGTCGCAACCAAAAGCACCTGCCTGGACACAACTGAGGCATTTCCATGTGCCTGGCCATGTTACGTAAGAATCGTTGGGACGGGGGGCTTTGCCCACGTGGGTTTCTTCGCTCCCCCAGGAGCATTCATCGTGCTCACCAGGGAGGGTCTCAAGGCAACTGATGGTTCAGCATTTCTGGGCTTCACCAGGGTGGTGCGTGGCTTGCTGGAGAACAGCCAGGCCCATGCTCTCACGTACACTGAGCTACGCACACCTAGTGCCGTGTCACTGTAGATAACACAACAGGGAGACTGCCTTGTGCATTCTGGAGCTCCACGCCCTCTCTTCCCACACACGGCTGAGAGAAGAGCCCTTCCGTGAGCGCCGTGTTGCCTGTCTCAGTTGTCTGATTTGCATTGAGATGCTTGTTCCTTGATTCGAGGTCACAGTGACCAAGCCTTGGTCTTTGTGTTCAGTCTCAGAGAGTGAGTCTTTGCTTGCTAACCCCTGAATCACCGCATTGCGCACTAGTTCTGTGGGACTCGAGAATTTCCAGCAACAAACAGTGGGCTCTTCCTCTGTGGAGGCCAGAGTGAGAAGGCACATCCAACCTTGGCTCCAGGCTTCCTGTGTAATGCCTCCGATGGTCAGCCCGGTTACAGGGCTGTCAGGCACCTCAACACTGAACAACTTCCTTCAGTGGCTACGTGAATTAATGCAACAAAGCCTCTTTTCATGACCCCAGAGCACAGTGCTTTACAGGGTGAGATATTTCCACTTCCACACACTAAAATCTTCCAACGAGGAGCGTCTGTGAAAGTGCCAGGCCTTACACCCTGGGCTGTTGTCCCTAATCAGTAAGCTTCTACCTGGAACATAATCCTCCCTTCCATACCAAAAAGAGGCCTGGTGCTGAGAGAGCTCAAGTGCTCTTCTGGGGTCACACAGCTAGCCAGTGCCAGAGTCGGAACTCAATTCACATCCATCGGCCTCCAAGTCTTTCTTGCATGAAAATAAATCATTCTGGGAGGGTATTGCAGTAACGTAGTACGTTGAAAGCATCAGGAAAGGGGCAAAGAAGTAAAGTGGGGAAGGGGAACCTTTGATGTCGGTAGCAGGGACCCCCATGAGATCGGAGGCCCTGCAGCAGGGGGACTAGATGAGGCCCAACCCGGGGGAAGGTTTGCCCTCATTGGTCTTCTGAGGAGGAGGAGGAGGAGGAGGAGGAGGAGGAGGAGGAGGAAGAGAGGAGGAGGATGGGGCTCCAACAGAGAAGATACCAGCACCCATGTCTCAGGAGTTATGGATGGGCGGGAGTCAGCTGGACAGCACCCAAGAACCCATGAAGAAATCCTTCAGACGGAGAGGCAGTCTCCAGCGTGCCTGAAGCCATCTCCCAATAGGACCCTCGAGAGGAGAACTTTCTGCCCTTTTGGCCCCATCTTTCCATGCTCACTGCGTGCTCTGGGACTGTAGCAGCAGGTGTGGGTGGGCTGGGCCATAGATGAGAAAGCCAGGAGCTGCTCCCGGCATGCACCCACCCCACCCAGGGCCTCCAAAACTATGCTTTCCCTGGGGATGTCTCACCAGTGAGAATTAAAGCAGTAGAGTTTCAGTATTGCATTCTGAACTTTATTTCATTTTTTTAAGATTTATTTATTCATGAGAGACAGAGACAGAGAGAGAGAGGCAGAGACCCAGGCAGAGGGAGAAGCAGGCTCCATGCAGGGAGCCCGATGCGGGACTCGATCCCGGGTCTCCAGGATCACGCCCTGAGCCGAAGGTGGGTGCTCAACCGCTGGGCCACCCAGGCGTCCCGCGTTCTGAGCTCTAAAGCATCCAGCAGCTGGAAGCCTCCTGGGGCGTGCTAGAGCGTTGACCACTAGCTCGTAAAACATCTCTGCAACAGGTAAGGTTTATAGAGACCCCGGGAGACCAGACATCCGCGGGGTGGTGGTAGCCGGGTCCTGCTCGTTCATGATAAAATATTTCTTCAGGTCTCGGTACGCTGGCATCTTGGGTTCCTGGGAAGAATGGGAGCTATGTTAGCACCCACTACACCGTGGATTAATTATTCCAGTGCGGACCAGAGCCCGAGGCACGGGAAATAATTACAGCTGAGCAATGCTTTATTTATAGAGGTGGAATAATGGAATCAAAGCCCCAGCGTGTGGTTTTGCGATTCTTCTTTTCTTCTTCCAAATAAAACAGAGGGATGACAAAAGAGACTACTCCTCCTGGGAAGTTTTGTCTTTCTTGCCTGGGGTTTGAGTCCCTGTCTGTCCCCCCGGGACCTGGGAGCAAAGGACTTGCCTGCCCGCTTGGTCAGCGTCACCTGCCCGCCTGCCTCCCACGGGGTGTCCTTGCTCACCGCCCGGCCTCGGTGTCGCCCAGGAGTGTGGCTTCCTTGGGGCCCGCGGGCCGTGGGTCACCGATCAGGCAGCTGGCCTTGCGGGGCCTGCACCCCCGGCCCCAGGGCGCCCGGCCCGCCCCCGCCGATGCTGCCCGCCGGCCGCTGCCCTCTGATGCGCGGCGAAAGCATGTGACTGTGAGGGCAGCCCCTGCGGGGCCGGCGGGCGGTGCAATAGCTTCTTCCTGAGAGATGGCCAATCGGTGGCCAATTAGCCGGCGATGACTCGGGCCGGGCCGGCCGCCTATGGTGGCCAGGCCTGGGCGCCAGCTCCCGGGGCCTTGAAAAGCTGCGCGGCCCGGGCCGAGGCGCACAGGGCCCCGGTCTCCTCGCCGGCGACCTGCCCGCAGGCCGCGCCACAGCTGGTAAGTCCCATCGATTTTCTCTCGCTGCTTCTCTGCCGCTCACACACTGGGACAGACGACGTTGGCCAAGGGCTACCGCTCCTTTGGTGTCGCTGCTTCAAATGAAATCTAAGAGTCGCTCTGTCGGCCCCTTTCTGGAATGCTCCAACCGCATGCAGGGTGAGCGTTAATTAAACACGTCGCGGAGGGGCAGCCCCGGTGGCGCAGCGGTTTAGCGCCGCCTGCAGCCCGGGGTATGATCCTGGAGATCCAGGATAGAGTCCCGCATCGGGCTCCCTGCATGGAGCCTGCTTCTCCCTGTGCCTGTGTCTCTGCCTCTCTCTGAATGAAAAAATAAATAAATCTCTTTAAAAAAAAAAAAAAAAAAAAAAACACGTCGCGGAGCTCAGCCTGAGCCCCGGGAGATGGCCTTGTCCGTGATCTTCCGTGCGAATCGTGAAACTCTGTCCCTTCCTGCCTGTTGTGTTATGGTTTTAAAACCTGTAGAACCGCCTGCAAGGATTCCTGTGTTTTCATTTGTCCCTTTGCCCTGAAACAGGGAGGTCTTCGGGGAGAAAGCAAGCGATTGCCAGACACTTTTCCTTCCTTCCTTTCTGGATTAAAGTGGTGGTTTGAAAACACAGGCTTGATACAGAGAATAATGGAAAGGCCAGAGGCAAGAAACCCAAGAGGAAATGAGCAAACGGAGAGGTGCGTTGTGTGCTGTAGGTTCCTCCAAAGAGAAATCGAATTAACTTTGTCTATCAAAAGATGAGCATCAGTGCTTCCGATCCGGATAGGATGAACGCGAGGGAGAGGTACCTGCCGTCGGGCATCTGCCCGGAAACGTTGGGGTTATCCTAAGCTTACGACGCGCTGCTTTTCTTTTTTTTTTTTTTTAATTTTTTTTTTTTTATTTACTTATGATAGTCACAGAGAGAGAGAGAGAGAGGCAGAGACACAGGCAGAGGGAGAAGCAGGCTCCATGCACCGGGAGCCTGACGTGGGATTCGATCCCGGGTCTCCAGGATCGCACCCTGGGCCAAAGGCAGGCGCCAAACCGCTGCGCCACCCAGGGATCCCGACGCGCTGCTTTTCTAAAGAGGAAACTTGAGACAGAATTATAGCAGCTCTGCTCTTTTTTTTTTTTTTTTGTAAGCTTTTTAAAAAATGTTTTCTGAAATATTTATTTTTCATTTTAAGTGCCCGGATACACAGTCTGTCATGACTGAATGGTGTTCTCGAAAACAAAAGCAGAATATGAGTGATCCCGGTTGGTAGATATGTGGCTCGACAGGCTTGTTTTTGGTTGTTTTTTTGTTTTGTTTTGTTTTTTTAACAGTTTTGTTGTCCGGTGCGGGGTTCCTTAGTCCGGTGTTGGAGGCCGTGTTTGGCTGCGTAGACCATCTTCACGAAGGGGCAGGGTTAAGTAAGCAGTGATAATTGGCTCAGAAATCGACCGCTCTTTATTCTGAAAATTCATATCAGATTTAGGAGATAAGCATGCAGGACAGCTTGACCTTTGTAACGCATGCCACCCGCATCCGGGAATGTGAGCCAGCCACACGTACGGTGTTGCCCTCCGCTCCAGATAAACCTTCCGTGCTGTCCTCCTGCAAGTGAACGATCCTAGTTAATCATGACGTCGAGTGCTTGCTTAGTTCTTATCTGGATATCAGCATTTTTCTATGGAGATTTATTTACTTATTTGAGAGTGAGAGAGAGACACACGGCGGGAGGGATGGAGGGAGAGGGAGAGAGACTCCCCAGCAGGCTCCCTGCCAGACAGGGAGCCTGATAAAGGGTTTGACCAAATGACCCTGAGATCGTGACCTGAGCCGAAACCAAGAGTCAGACACTCAACCGACCGTGCCACCTAGGCGCCCTGCAATATTTTTCGTGTGTGCATTGACTCCATCCTCTGAGCTAGCCCTTGAGGATTGACTTGGAGGGGTGATAAAAAGAATTGTCTTTGGAGATGATGTCACTAAAAATGGTGAAACTCTTCTTGAGACATTATTCCATTCTGTGGTCATTTACGATAGGCAGCGCGTGCCTTGACAAACGCGTGATAATACCTGACAGATTTTCCCCCAGGAATTGGTGTCTACAGTGACATTAATATTTACCAACTGAGAAATTGCCCCATTTTCATTTATAATGAGATTATAACATAACAACTGGTGATATCAGGATCCAGAAATGTAAAAGGTTTCAGTGCATGGAAGAAAGGAAAAAAAAAAAAAGAAGAAGGACTCCTTCTAATTTGCATTTAAAACTGAGCAATAAATGTCAGACGTCCCTTAAAAGGCTGATGTGAAGTAAGCATTAAAAGTTTGTGGGTAAAAACCTCAAGACCTGTCCTCCAGACCACTCTCCATCTCTGCTGTTTTGTTTGTGTCTTGTCCTCTCATTAACATTCCTACCTTGTTTGGAAATTAACCCTGTAAAACTTGGTGGCTGAGTCAACAAGCCCTTACCTGGCACCCTTGGGATTTAGGTAATGAAAGATTTTGCAATGATGACACAGAAGTCCAGTCTTCCCTCTGGAGTTGTCCAAGACGGAAAACAAACACTCAGTGTAAATACTGCAGGTGCCAATGTCAATAATAATTAGGTGCTTATTACGAGGAGGAAGTGCAGGGCAGAGAGTCACACCGGGCTAATTCACTATGGTGCCCTTGACTTTCCACTCGGATAGAAAGCACGGAGGTAAGACGGAGGGGGCCCCGGGTCCGCTGGTCCTCTTGGTCGTTCCAGGGCTGGGGGGAAGTCGCGTGCAGAGATAGACGCAGGACTGGGACGTCCTCCTTCACAAGTGACTTGTCTGCCCTGGGGTTTCTCAGCTGTGGCAGTCAGCAGACCGAGCTGTGCTTGCAGGATGTTTGGACTCTAGGCACTAGATGCCATAGGACGCCGCCACCCCCCCATCCGCAATTGTCCACGGACGTTCCAAGTGTTTCCCGGGGAGGAAAAGCCACCGTCGCTTGCTTAGAGGCCTGGAGACCAGCCTTGCACCGATTCTCAGCTGTTCCCCGGGGTTCCAGGAAGCTCTTGGGTTGTGCTGGAGGTTGTCCCAGCTGGTCTGACCTGGGTCGCCATTGGGCACGGGTGTCCCGTGTCTCTGATTGCCTCCTCTGTTGCAAGGGATGTGTGGGCTTATACAAGGTGGAGCGACTTGGCCAGCATCCTTTTCAGTATAGGCGGGCTTTCCAGTGTCTCGTGTGTTGACTTCTTTTTTGTTGTTTTTAAGATTTTATTTCTTTGTTAGAGAGAAAGAGAGCATGAGCAAGAGGAGGGGCAGAGGGAGAGAGAGAAGCAAGGGAGCCTGACTTGGGGCTCGATCCCAGGACCCCAAGATCGTGACCTGAGCTGAAGGCAGATGCTTAACTCACTGAGCCACCCAGGCACCCCTCGAATCCTTTCCAAGAGCTCCCTTCTGAGTTACACACCTACGCCCCTTTGTCCATAACCAACAAGAACAAAAGAAAGAGGAGGATTGGAAACTAAGGTTTTGGGGTAGCTTATTTTTGTCAGTTCTGCAGCAACAAACAGGAAACTGATGTAAAATTGAACAGTCTGTATTCATCCCATGGAATGCAAATACTCATCCTGTTTTGCTGCAGAGGTATTTATATGTGTGACTGCAGGCGAGTGTCCAGGACGTCGTTTAGGGTGTGTTACGTGGCACATGCCCGCTCTGCCACTGTGTCTTTCCCTATACGTGTGTCTGCGTGTTGCGTGCTGCTCGTCACAGCGCAGTATGTATGGATATCAAATCATTACGTGGCGTGCCTTGAAGTTCTCCGTCATCTGTCAATTATATCGCAGTAAAACTGGAATATAGATTTGTCATTCAGTAAAACCAGATAACAGATGAACATATTTGGCAAAGTTTTACTGAGATGTAATTGACATACAGCGTCAGGTGGGTTTAGAGTATAGGATGGATGATTAGATACACATCGTGATGACTCAATCCATATTGCAAAGTAAGCTCCGATAACATCCACCCCCTCACGTGGGTACAGATTTTTGTTTCTTGGAATTGTTAGGAGGTGTAATACAATGAGCACGGTTCTATACAAAACAGGGCCCATTAGGAGCATCAGGTTCTATACAAAACAGTGCCCGTTAGGAGCATCAGAAAGCGTCCTGGGGGCAGCTCAACGTCGCAGCTGTCTTTGCATACTTTTAATATATATATATTTTTAATTACCTTCCAAAATCTAAAAAAAGAAAGAAAGAAAACACTGAATTGTGAAAAACATGTGGCTCCAAGAGTCTGTGTTTTGAGCCTGGGGAGCTAGAGTTCTAAATTTAAGCATGGAAAAGTTCATTTTGAGCCTGTGTGTGACTTTCAACCATCATGTGATAGTTGCACCATGTGCGTTTGTTTGTTTTGTTTTCCCGTTTATGGTATCAGGCTATGTTGCAATCCCCTCAGGGGTACCCTCCACCACTTCAAACCTCAGGACTTGTGTAAGCTCTGCAAGCTTTGCAATAAGATGAGAATAGTCAGAAGCTTAAATTCAGCCAGAAAAGCGGGGCTGAACCTGTGTGTCTTCTGGTCCCCATGCCCATTGATAAGCAGCTTCCGACTGCTGCTCCCCAGCTACTCCCCAGCCTGTGCACCTGGGAGGCAAGGACCACTTACTCAAGTCTACGGGGGGTCACGATGGCCCAATGTGGGATTCCATGGCCGGGATACTGAACTGAACAGCATGTCTTGACTTTTGAAAGGCCAGACGTTGGGTTCCATTAGGCACAAATACAAAGTCGATGTTGGGTTAGCAAAGAAGTTAGTCGCTTTTAGGCGAGCACACGTTCTATAGGTCAGGGATTCTCAGCCCGAGCAGAGTCCATATTCAGGGTTGGATTATTCTTTGTTTTGGGTGGGTTTTGCACATTGTGGGATATTTAGCTGAATCCTTGGATACTATCCAAGAGACGCCAGTAGCACCCTCCCAGTTGTGACAAGCAAAATCACTCCAGACACTACCAAATATTTAAGTGGGGGG